TAATTATATTTAATAAAAATAATATAATATACCTATATAAATATAATTATATTTTAAATATTTTTAAATATGTAGTGGGTCTAGATCCGGATCCGGATATCCGGACTGAAAATTTCACTATCCGGATTCGGATTCGCCGGATGCGTGAAATTACTATCTGGATCCGGACCCCCCGGATATCCGTTTTTCGGAGCGGATTGGAGCGGATCGGAACGGATCACGGATCGGATAGCGGATAGCGGATATAAGTCTCAGCCCTACCAACTGCTACCATTTAGATATGATTTATTGAAAAAAGAAACTCATGCACAATGTCAAAAGTTATTTATCTTTCCTGGTAATATAATGTCTTGATTGGTTGGTAACCGAATAAGATTGGTAATGAAAATGAAATGGTAAACTTAGAAATTAGAATACTATCATGTATCATGAGAGAGCGAGATGTACCAGACAATTGGTGACCAAAAGTGTCGTAAAAGAAAGGCATGTACACAGGTTGAGAGATTAAAACTGACAGCGAATGGCAAATAGCCCAAAAGAATGCTAGTCAAATGTTTGCCAACTTTATTATTTTCCGGTCCCCAAAATTAAACTATTTTATTCAATATTGTATCATTTCAAAATGGAAATAAACTTCCCTAAACTTAACGGTATATTCTTCAAAACTTTTAAATTATGTGGACAAAAGTTGAAAAGAAAATTCAAAACTCACACCGACACTAACACCAGTCAATAGTCATCAACTAACTGCTCAAGAATTTCAACAACAATTTCTTCTCAATCATACATTCATTTTTATACAATGGAAAATGTAGTCTGTCAGAAAGAAAATAAGCATAATTAAGAATCTTGCCTTATGTTTTTTATATAATGAAGTCCTAAATAAATTTTTTTTTTTTTATCATTTTAATATCTTAATTAAATTACTAATAATAACTTCTCTCTCTCTCTTCATTAACTCAGCGAAAGCTTGGAATCTCCTCTCTCTCTAGTCACTACCTACACCTTTCTTTAATGGCGACACTTTTAACTGCACACCGTAACTATTCTTCTTCTTCTCAGTCACTCTCTTTACTTTTGGCTTCTCCTTTCATGGCAATGTTTCTCTGCAATGGAATGTGATCACCACCGACACGCAATGGCTTCCGGAGATAGAGTTATGTTCCTTGTTTTGCTTCTAATCTTCTCTAGCTTTTCCATTGTTCACTGTGTTACTGATCCATCTGATGGTAAAGTACTCATCTTTATGACTTTTGTGACTTTTGAGATCTTTATGAATTTGAGACCTGAGATTTTCTGGGTTTCTTTGTTTCTTACTGACTTTTTTAGATTCAGTAAATAAAGTTGTAAGCTTTATGAAAGATCCTTGATTGGGTTTTCTGACTCCTGAGTTGCTCTCATTGGTGGTATTGCAGTTCAAGCCCTTCAAGTTTTGTATACTTCACTGAATAGTCCTTCACAGCTAACCAATTGGGGAAATGGTGGTGGTGATCCATGTGGAGAGTCATGGAAAGGGATTACTTGTGAGGGCTCAGCAGTTGTCTCTATGTAAAGGAACCACACTTTTATTTCTTTCCACTTTGATTCTTGAGTGTCTTGTAATGTTTCTTGTTTTTCCTTGTGATTTTTAACAGAGATATATCGGATTTAGGAGTCTCTGGCACTCTTGGATACTTGCTTTCTGACCTAATGTCACTCAGAAAACTGTACTGTCTTTGGATTTTTGTTTTGTTTATGTGATCTCTGTGCTTTTTGAGGATCTGATTCAGTAACTTTAGTCCTCTTTCACTTTGATACAGGGATGTTAGTGGAAACAGCATCCATGACACACTTCCATATCAACTGCCACCGAATCTCACAAGCCTGTAATGCTCTCTTCTTTATCGTATTTATTATTTAGTCTTCAATTTCAAACTGACAGCTGAAAAGAAAATGCAATGCAGAAACTTGGCGAGAAACAACTTAAGTGGTAACCTTCCATACTCCATATCCGCTATGGGTTCTCTTACTTACATGTGAGTTTCTAAATTGTGAGTGTAGCATAACTCTTCTTCTTGTGTATTAAAGTTTTGAAATGTTGTTTTCTAGGAATGTAAGTGGTAATTCACTCTCAATGTCAATAGGAGATATCTTTGCTGATCATAAGTCACTTTCAACCTTGTAAGATCTCTTTCCTCTCCCTTTATGAAAATGATATCTCTGGTTCCAGTTTCCATTGGTCTTATTGTTGCTCTACTCAGGGATCTTTCCCACAACAACTTCAGCGGCGATCTTCCGAGTTCTTTAAGTACAGTTTCCAAACTTTCCGTTCTGTGAGTGCTTTTGAATTCCCTTTGTTGTAACGAGAATCAAAAAGTGCAAAAAAGAGATTCATACTGATGATGATATTTTTATTTGTGACAGATATGTTCAGAAAAATCAGTTGACAGGTTCCATTGATGTACTCTCTGGTTTGCCTTTGACAACTCTGTAAGTTCTTCAATTTTAGGTAGACAAAAGTAGTGAATGTGTTACTTTCTCATCTCGCTTACCTTATATGTTATCTTTGGCAGAAATGTTGCAGACAATCATTTCAATGGGTCCATACCTAAGGACCTTATCTCTATTGAGAACTTAATGTAAGTTTCCATTAATATAATCTGTTTTCATACTTGAGAGTTTTCTTGAAGGTTCAACAAAAGCAAGTTTTGTCTTTGACATTCAGATATGATGGTAATTCTTTTGACAATGCCCCTCCATCTCAACCAGAAAGACCTGACAAAAAAGGGAAACATTATGGTTCTAAGAAACCCAAAAACACTCCTGACGCTGAAGGGAAGTCTTCTGAAAAGGGTTTGTCTGGTGGAGTCGTCACTGGTATAGTGTTCGGTTCTCTGTTTGTTGCTGGTCTTCTAGCACTTGTTCTTTACTTATGCCTTCATAAGAAGAGAAAGAAAGTTGGAGGAAGCACAAGAGCTTCTCAAAGAAGTCATCCACTTAGTGGAATAACCGAAGTGCAGGAGCAGAGGGTAAAAAGTGGAGCATTTATTGCAGACATGAAGTCTTCTCCTGCAGAGAAAGTAACAGTTGATAGGGTTATGAAAAACGGGTCTATAAGTAGAATGAGATCTCCAGTCACTGCTTCACCATACACTGTTTCCTCTCTCCAAGTAGCAACAAACAGCTTTAGCCAAGAAAACATCATTGGTGCAGGATCTCTAGGCCGTGTCTATAGAGCAGAGTTCCCCAACGGAAAGGTAATGGCGATTAAGAAGATTGATAATGCAGCACTTTCGTTACAAGAAGAAGATAATTTCTTAGAAGCTGTCTCCAACATGTCCAGATTAAGGCATCCAAACATTGTTCCATTGGCTGGATACTGCACCGAGCATGGTCAACGTCTTATGGTCTATGAATATGTTGGAAATGGGAATCTAGATGATATGCTTCACTTGAATGATGATAGAAGCATGAACTTGACTTGGAATGCGCGTGTTAAAGTGGCACTTGGAACTGCAAAAGCTCTAGAGTATGTCACCATTTTTAATGATTAAATGTCATAAACAACAAAGTTTCATGTTAACCCTGAGCTTGTTTAAACAGGTACTTGCACGAAGTTTGCTTGCCTTCAATTGTACATAGGAACTTCAAGTCGGCGAATATATTGCTAGATGATGAGCTAAACCCTCACTTATCAGACTGTGGTTTAGCTGCTTTGAATCCTAACACTGAGAGACAGGTCTCAACTCAAGTAGTGGGTTCATTTGGATACAGCGCTCCCGAGTTTGCATTGTCAGGAATCTATACTGTTAAAAGTGATGTATACACTTTTGGAGTAGTCATGCTTGAGCTCTTAACTGGTCGGAAACCTCTTGACAGGTTTCATTTTTTTCCTTGTTATCTAATGTTAACCCCAAAAATACATTGCTTCAATTTTCCTTCAACAATTCCCTTTGCTTTGTGTGTGTGTGTGTGTGTGTGTTTGATAGCTCGAGAACGAGAGCAGAGCAATCACTAGTGAGATGGGCTACACCGCAGCTTCATGATTTTGATGCTTTGTCTAAAATGGTTGATCCTTCTCTTAATGGCATGTACCCAGCTAAGTCACTGTCTCGTTTTGCGGATATCATTGCTCTTTGTATTCAGGTACCATCTTAATGAAAACGAACCAAATTGAAATTGTTTTGGTGAAGTAACCATCTTCTCTTTTGGTTAATATTTTAGCCGGAACCAGAGTTCAGGCCTCCAATGTCAGAAGTGGTGCAACAACTAGTGAGGCTGGTTCAACGAGCAAGTGTAGTCAAACGAAGATCTAGTGATGACACTGGATTTTCTTACAGGACACCTGACCATGAGCACATGGATTTCTCATTCTGAGTAATAATAGTCCAAAACTTCTTTTCTGTTAATTGGAAGCTAAAAAGAAGCTCCAAAACTCAAGACGGGGACAGTTTTGCGCAATATACATGAAGGATTCTGAACCAAAGGATCTGACAGAGAGGTAAAGAAAGCACATCTTGGTTCAGATCAACAAGTATGAAACTATGTTTGTGAGTGAGGATAAAATTAGAGTACATAAGAGTCTGTTTCATGTTCTTATTCTTTCTTTTTGCCGAAAAAACAATCAATCTGAGACTTTATTTTGCAGTGTTGTCTCTTTTTTGTATGTTGAAATAATTTAGAAGAAAAAATTTCAGGATCTGCTAACATGATAAAGAAAATGGAAAATAGAAGACAGATCTGATGTTAGTCCATGTTGAGAAGACCTAAAGACAAAGGCGCTCTTCATGTTCATCTGTTCTCATCAGACTCAAAAGAACAAACAACAGTAAACAGACCTTAAAGTTAACTTAAACGCCACGGAAGTCTATACAAGTGACTCTGCCACCATAACTTGTCTTCATCATCTGACAACCACGACGACACAGACAAGATAATCCTAACTTAACTAATATGCACCAAAGAGCTTCCAAGTTATAACTTGCCATCCCCTGTGGCTTTCACCCATGAGAACCTCGCGATTATCTTTTCCTGCGCTTTGCTTCCACCTGAAGAAAATAATGTCATTGTTAACATCAGTCACAAGATTTTGAGCACAAAACAGAAAGAAGAGTTTTCCTGTAAATGCCAAACATTTCAGAAGATAATAACTGTAACAATCAAAGAGGTCTCTAATTCTGCTATCTATAGTATACTCAAGTTCTTGGAAGTAGAAGCATAACAAAATGGATGTTTGATAGCCTTAACAGACAGATTGTTTGGCAGTTAGAACTGGAGCAACGTTAAGAAAAGATCAAATCCAGACAGGACTAAGAACCAAGATTATATCTCTCTGGCATTTCCCACACAGCATAGCAGTATCAAGCCAGTGAATAACTTTTGGTTTTGTGATTTTTCTCAGATCTCAAATTGAAGTCAATGATCGGACAAGGTTGCACACATATAATGACAAAAGAGATACAAAACGAACCTTGACATCATCAGCTGGAGATGCAGTAAACCCGTTCTGTGATTTCTTGACATCGTCATCAGAACTGCATTCAGCACATGCGAAGTGATCAAGCAGCTTTGCTTCTTCAATCGTCATGCCAACACATGCTGGATGATACCTACACACCATCAAATTGCAACTCTTCCCATCAGTAAACAAAGGATACCAGCAAGTTCAAATACAGATCTTAAACACTCTTCTCCACTGAAACAGAAGTAACGAAGCTAATAAAAGAGAGACAAAACAACATTTACCAGTCTTTGCAGCCTTCACACTGCACCATGAGATCGTCTGGATTATAAGGCATTTCACATTTGCAGTACCTTCAGCACCAAAAATTACCCACAAAATAATAAATATTTTAAATTTCAGAATAAAAGTAGACATGGTTCTGAACTGATTGCTCATCTACTTACACAGCAACTCGGTCAGGGGTAAACGCGCCAGTAGCAGCCTTGTACTCGAACCTACAATAATAATCCTCCGCCCCAACGTTTTCAAGCCTAGTGTAGCTTTTGAAGGTGTGAACAATGCATTTTCCCTCAATGGTGTGTGCGCTTTGAACATCAAAATGGTCAGACAAGAAAAGCTCTTTAGCTCCATGGAACTGTCTCCTCCCACCAAGGGACTCCTCAGGGCGGTAATACCACCGACAGTGCACCTTCACATTGTTCCTGGCATCCGCTTCGATTTTCTCAACACGAGCCACGTATGGTGGCTTACCAGCATCAGATGGGCGCATCAACACATAGTCTCCAGCTGCAGAAAACAACCTCAAGAGATTACTTCACAGCTCTAGGTAACATATCTAACTGACATTCTATAAACTACAACAAGCACCATAAGAAGCTTGCAATGAACAAAAATAGTTCAGACATGGGTTGCAAATATTAAGTATACAAATATTAACCTAGTAACAAGCAACAAGCAAGTTCTAAGTAAATGCAAGATCTTTCCCAAATAAAAGACACACACTTTGCATCAATGTACCAAACCAAACAAAAGTATATTCCATATTTCACACTAAACTCAATTTACATAAAAGTTACTAAATTTACAGAAAAAGAAGCCCAAACCAAAACACTTCACTGCTAGTTATCTCTGTTTTTAAACCAAAAAAACAAGTAACCAAAGATCACATTTTGCGACATTGCATAGCACAAACACTTTCCAAAAAGTGTAGCTACAAAGCAGAGTGAAACACACATTTCAACAGCTAATCACCTAAAACAAGACTACACACCTAAGCAGACATTCTAACGATACATACTCTATCATGTCTAAATCTATCAAACATATCTAAAGACTCCATATACTAAACGCTAAGATGCTCAAAGCGTACAACTTTAAAAGAGAGAGAGACAACCTCTCACAACTTTGTTGGTGCCTTTAATGGTATACATGTCGAGCTCCTTCCTCCCAGGTTTGGTCTTTGAGGGGACACCAGGTCGAGTTTTCGCCATGGAAGCTAGCTAGGGTTAATGCTAAGGCGGAATAAAGTTAGGTTTTTTGTTTGTCTCGGTTACAGAGATTCAAGGGTTGTGAAGATCTTTAGGGTATGTAGATCGATGAGAAAAGGAAGAAGGAGAAGGAGAGGTATTTGAGTGGATAGAAGAGAGGAGAAGGAAGATGAGGAGTAAATCTGGAACCCTAGATTCTCTGTAGGTGAAGAAGATGAGTCTTTTTGCTTTTTTTTTTTTATCAACTGATGAGTCTTTTTGCTAATTGAGATTTTTACCATTGGAAAGAGCTATCAATTTTTTGTCTCTTTTTTTTTAATCTTTTTTATTTTTATAGAGATTATTTGTTCGGACACCATAAATCGACCTCATATTTCGCAATTTACACATGATTTGACATCTCCAAATTCTTGACAAAAATGTCCATTCTACTCTCTTCCCTACTCTCGTAGTTCTGTCACAGTAGATCCACACTTGCCTCGTAGCAGACAATTTGTTTGTTAACTAGTAAAACTTATTTATTAGTTAACCGTCTAAAATGTGAATTTTAAATTAAATTTATCATTTTCTCTAATAATTTATTTTACTAGGATAAGACATTCGCATTGCACAGTGTGAGTGTATGTAATTAAAATATAAAACTTTAGTATTGATAAATTTAAAATTTACATATGATTGTTTTTATAGGTATTTGGAATTTTAGAGTTTTTATAATTATCTATACTTAGGATTAGAAACAATTGTAATTAGAACTAAAGATCAAAATGGACACAGGGTTTTAATTGGTAGAGCATTATCAAGTTTTTAATACTTTCTTAAGAAGCAATTGGTAGACTATTTCCATTTAGAATATATAAAGTTTCAAAATTAATTTAATATAATTTATTATTTGTCTAATAATAACAAAAAATTATATTTTTTTTTTATAAAAAATAATTTTATCAAAAATTAAGTTAAATTTTAAATTATAATTATTTTTAAAATAATATTATTTATTCATACGATATCATATATATATATATATATATATATTAACATAAACACCTATTAAAATAAAATTATTTATTCATATGATTTTATAATCATTGTAACTTATTATAAAAATTAGACCTTGATCACAAAAGTTTATGTGAGATTTTTAACAATTTTAGTAATTTATACTCGTTTTCAAAATTTCAAAATAAAACATATATAAGAAAATCTTAATTTTTATTATATGACTAGTGTAGTTGTGTAATTTATTTTAATAATAAAAAACTAAACAAAAATGATATAAAGTATAGAGATTGTTAACAAATCTTTATTATTTAAAATCATTAATAGTCATATATATCTTAATCACATTAGGCAATTCCGTAAGTTTTATTTAAGAAAGAATATAAAGGAGATTTAATTTGATATGTTATATAGTTTTGTATGTCTTATATAAGACCAACGGACCTTATTTTAAAACTATACTTTATATGATGTGTTCTATAATCCTTCTAAACTGAAATAGAATGCATAGAGAGGTGCCACGTAGAATATGGTTATTTTTTAATTAATACAAACTTAAGGTTATAACATTCAAATGTTTCTCAATTAATATATAGGGGATGTCAGAACACGAAACCGATTTTAGTTTCCTCTTTTTACTGATAGAAAATAAACTATAAATCCCAAAGGAAAACAACCGTCTAATTCCTGTCTTTCTTCTCGAGTTTGTAATAGACGATTTAATACTTCCTCTACGTATATTCTCATGTGGTGATGAACCATCGGTAAGCGAGTCAACTCGTATCACAAGACTCGGAGAACAGAGTCACTTATTGAATCTCTCTAGACGAAGAAGAGATGAAGTTCTTAAAAAAATCCCAATTTTCGAAAGTTTTAGCTTTACAAGAAAATCCACTTTTTCTGATACTTTCGGTCATTTCATTTTGGTGAGGATGCTGAAGACGAAGAAGAAGTACGAGAAATGGTTAGTTTTCGCCGGAATACCAATTAGAATCTCCTTTAGGAAGTTCGCTCTTGTTACAGGTCTTAACTGCAATAGGATTCCTAATCAGATGCGGAAGAGAAGAAAGAATCCTCTCAAAGAAAAACTCGATCGGAACAAGATGTTTGGCTCACTTAAATCGTGTTCTGTGGATACTGTTATTGACATGTTCAAGACCCGCAAGGTGAAGGATAGAAACACCAGAATTAAATTTGTTTGTTTAGCAATTACTGCTTCAGTCCTACTCCCATCTTCACACTCTCCAAAGATTGTTCCTGAACATGTTGAGTTAATTAGGAAAATCGATGAGTTTCTTGCTTATCCATGGGGGCGAATTTCTTTTCAACTGGTAGTGACAACCTTACTTAAGAAGGATGCTCTTGCGTTTGCTCAAGACTATTTTGCACTTAGAGGTTATGTGGAAGCTATACAGCTTGTCATGATTGCGGCTGCCCCTGCTTTGAAAGAAGAGGTCATCCCGACTGCCCATGTTGTTGTTGTTGAATCGGAGAGTGAGAGCGAGATGCCTGATGAGGAGGAACCAGTGGGTGGAGATGACTCTAGATGTTTGGAGAAGGTTAACTCGTCCGCTAGATTTATCGTTAATCCCAAAAACGCCAGGGACCTTAACGCGGAATGCCAGGTTTGCCATCCATCTGCTTCCTATGTATTTGATAATGTAACTTAGCAGTCATCCTCATAATTAGGTGGTACCCAATAAGTTAACATCCATCAGGATAGGTAACATTGTTTCATTATGCTGCTTGATGTTGTTCCCATCTATCGATCAGACAAGAGAACCTTGCACGCCAGTTTTGTGGAACCCCCAGGCTTATCTCTACCTTATCTTTCATTGTTAGAGCATAGATGTTATTGTTTCGTCTAGCTTTTCCGTTTAATTTTATTGTTAGTTGTTAATGTATCCGTTAACCTTTAGCGTTTGTGGTTAATACGGATTTTCAGGTGCCTGTTCGATCTATCCTTGATGACCTAGAGGAGGAGTGACATTCTCAGCATTACTTTACTTGGGTTGATGAAAGCGAAGACCCTGCTGTGGACACGCTGGTGAAGCTCATTAATGATGGGTTTGTTTTCAACAATGATATTTTCCGCCGTGGCATTTCCTCCGGTGACCTTTCAAGACCAAAGGTGGAGAAGCAAAGGGAAAAGGAGGCCACGGATAAACATGACAAAGCAAATTTGGGGGAGACATCTGAGTCTAGCGGTATTGGGCAAGGCATGATTGAATCTCTAGCAAATCTAATATCCGAGAAGTTGTGTGGCGACATCGTTTCTATGGAGTATAAAATTGCAGATGCTGTTGAGAGAAGCTTCAACACTGCTGTTGTCAACTACATGCAATCATTGGAGAAGGGAGTCATCAGGGCCATCACTGAGTATTTGGGAAAATCTTCCTCATCAATTCCAACTGAATATTATATCCCCCAAAGGATTTACCAACTGCCACCAGAAAAAAGGACAAGGACAATGCAGAAGCATTTCATGCTGGAGATGACTAGGAAACGACTTCCGATGGATCGGAGTCTATGGAGTAAGACCCTGTCAGGCGGGTTCTTGATGACATTCAGGCATCATCCAACAATGAGGAAGTAACCTAAATTCAATTTTTTTTAAACTACAAAAAATTCCTTGCCCACTTTACGCTAACCTTGCTTTCCTTTTACTTTAACACAGTCCAATGCTAAAGAAAACGCCATTGTACCAAACGTATCAGCACAACTCCCTCCAAACAATGAGAGGACAGAGATCATGTCTCACAAGGTTAGCAGTTATATATCTGCTGCTCATTGCTAACAAATGCAGTTACATCTAACATTTATTTTACCCGATAATTTAATTTTTACCTTTGCACCCACTAAACTCTTTTTTTTAAACAGCAGAAAAATACCAATGTCTCACCTTTGAATCCTCTTCTGGAAACCTCAAGCGGCAACAGCTTCACGGCACCAGCTCCGGTATATTTCCCCACTATTTCCTGCTTATATTATAAGATACCTCATTGACCTCTGGTAACTCTCTAACAAGTTGGTTATCTACTGTTATCTCTTTCATGTGTACGGCAACGCGCTCCAGTCTGAGATAGCACCACCATGTTTCTCGATTGGCCTTACCCAGAAGAAGCAGCTCTTCCGGTTCTTGATCGGAAACCGGTCAGATATGTTCTCCCCCCTATACCTGAAAATAACGACAACCCAGATATTCGTAGAAGCAAGCGTTCAAGGGTTGCATCTAAAACTTACCAAGACTATGAGTTAGACCCCAAAGTTAATGTGGGATTCCGTATCCTATCCGATCTCCCCCAATTGTTTGAACAACTACAACATAATATAATGCGGCTTGGGTATGTCTACAGTTTATTTTTACGGTTACCTTTGAAGTTCACCCTTACATACACATTTACATTTCACAATCTAACGTAACTCTCATAATTTTTTAAAAAAATATTTGTGCATTTAGATGGGCCTGCTGCTGTCACAACGAAAGAGTTTTTGGATATAGTATTTAGGTCGGCTCAAATGTCGCCGCAGGTATTTATCCTTACCTGTACCATAGAACAATCTAATCTATTTTTTAAAATGGTGATGTTACTCTGCATCAGACTATGGATGCGTTGATGCATAGTCCTTCTAAATCTCTCAAGGTGTATGACACTAGCCTTCCCGCTACCATGATGCATCATTACTCCAAGTTTGTCAAAACGGCTGTCAAAGATAGGCCGAAGATCAAGTTCAATGATGCTGCTCTCGTGAAACTACGCGAGACCGCCTATACTTCCCTTTCAACATTGATCACAAACACTGGGTGGCGGTTGTTGTTGACACTAAGGCGGGCGTTCTTCATGTGTTGGATTGCCACATCGCTATGAAGACCGATGGGGTGATCAAGAGAGAGCTCAATCTAATTGCTAATATGATGTCATATCTGATCAGATGGTGGAATTCTGAGGCAAGTAATGTCAGCACCAATGCCTTCACTGTCACAAGGCCCAGAGGCATCCCTCAATCTCTAGCAGCAAGGGACGCTGCGGCTACTAACGTGTCTTCTCATTGATGCCCATTGCCAGGTTGGATTGGAAGGCTGCAAAGCTATTACCCCGCGGGTGCTCCCTGATGCTGCCAAACAGCTCTTAGTGAATTTATTTCGGTTCCTCTCTAGACCTCTTAAAAGTGCCTCCCAAACTTAAGCTTTATTTTTATTTACCCGTTAAGACAATGTTTTCATGAATTAGTATTTAAACAG